TACACGTTTTATCTTTCACTCCGATTCCGTAAAGTCGGACAAATGTCTGGGTATGTTAATTAGCGTTTTTCTTACATGCGAGATAAAAAGAGCGGGCTTAAAGTAAGGAAAAGTGACCGTGATTATAATCAAGAAAATACTAGTTGAGTCGCCTCCATTCTACAGGCGGCTCAGCACACTCTCTATTCTTGAGTATATAAATTAAGGACAAGTATTTTTTACTTAACTCGCCGGAATTCCTTACATTCAATGTATTCCCGATTCGATTTATTAATATGGCTATTCAGATTTTACGTTTAGCTAATATCTGGGCGAGAAGTAAACTGAAATCCATCCTGGATGAAAACAAGTCTTGGGCAAGCAAGGTTATGTGAAATTAAATGAACACGTCAGCTCTACTAATATCATTATGGAAAAACTCTACTGCCCGTCCTTCATCCGCTTAAACGAAATTGGGTTAATACAGCTCATAAACCGTAATCAGCAACACGAGAAGTTTGAGGCCATTCAACCTCGTGTTCAGGTTCAGCCAGCTCTGATCTATGAACCCAAGCACTTTTGCGCATAGCCACCCTTTGTCGAATGGGTCGACAAGTCTATCAAACATAAAAGCGACAAAATGAATACCTTATGTTGCGGAAACCCAATCTGGATAATGGGCCAACTCTTTTTTTCAAAGTGGGCATAACTGAAGAAAGGGTCATAGTTTCAATGGCAACCGTTTTTATTCCCGCCTCCCTTGTTTGCTTATCCTTTAAGAGAGAATGTACGAAGGCAATGACACGACATGATAGAAATTGTCCTTGTCGCCCCTTACCTATTCACCATTCGAAGAGGAATTCTCCATTAATCAAATGGGATAATTATTGTCGAGAAATATTATCTTAAGCCGAACCATTTCATTGTCACAATGGTCTCTATCGGCTATTCTTATGCTCCGGATAATCATAGGTTTTTAAAACGCTAACTATGGTTCGAGTAGAATTCAGGATAAAGCCAGCATGCGTTGGCTTTCTATATACATACCAGTTTAACTTCTCACCTGATCTGATCACTAAAACATCTAAAAAGGATAAATTATTGTCTTTCTCTATCTCTATTGTCAACTTAACATTGCAATCAATTTAGTTAATTAAGAACAAATAATTATCTAAACTAACCGTACCATGTTGCCATTTAGCAAAGCTATCCTCCATTTATCTAACTAAAAGTCTGGCTGTCAATCTTGCCTCTTCCACGAAGCGTTCCTCTATTCTTTACATGTGATTATTCGCTAAACTGTAAACAAAACAAGATCCCAATACTAGGCCTTGCACCTATTCATAAAACTTATCATTAAAGGTGAAGTATTAGCTACTCACTGGTAGATTGAGTAGCTTTAAGATTCAGCTTTTGCTCATATTTGCCTCCTCAATCATTTCTGGATCCTCATGATGGCTAAGTGATGGTCTTCTGAACTGGGATGTTAGCATACATTGATACCACATCGAAACTGACCAAATGATCATCCCCTTTAATACTCTGTTAATCTATTAATCTAGCAAATTCATATGAATTCTTCACTGAATATTTCCAATACTCAGCCACTTTCCTTAACAGCCTGCATAGGAATCGTGAAATCCTACTTATCACACCTCCTTGTGTATTTATAGAAGGCCGTAAACAGAAGACACCCTATCATCCCTTTAAAGATGTGAATTCACTTTCCACTTCTCATTTTCTCCTTTGTTCACACAAACTTCAAGCTACTCCCTAAGTTCGGCCCTAAGACTCTCTGTGGGATCCTTCACTAAAGGTCTGTATGTTTCTGAGTCATTTAGACGAACCATCATTTTTTCTATATAACTTAACCTATCTATGATAATCACTGCACCCCCTTTATTTGCCTTCAAATCACACAGATCATGCTGGTGCATATGCAATGAAAAATACAATTTTGTTTTGTCGACAATCCCAGCACAGAATGTGATATGGAAAAAATGCATAGCCTTTTTTGAAATTCACATCTTCGCTGTAACTCAAGGGGTTTCGTGGCAATGTAGCGTAGTGTCTAACGTGTCGAGACTATACGTTGCACCGGTATTGTTCACAAAATCAAAGCCACAGTCCAGCCTGGATGAGAACACTTTTTGGAATTTAATGGAAACCCAAGGTCTACTTATATCATTGTGAAAAAATGCATTACATTAAACGAACTAGAGCGTATACAGCTCTTATATCAGATAAACCGGTAATCTCGAAAACACACTTCTACACGACATATAGGCATTGATAATAGCTGTTACATGAAATATTGCTGTAGAAAAATTGCTCTATCGGTATTTCATCCCCTTATGCGATCTAGAGTGACTAGGCATCATATTTGCAATCCTCTGATGGCATTGATGTCTCATAACGAGGAATATTCCTTGCAGTCGCCATGGCATATGACCAAACTAAGTCTAAATATTGACTCCGCTGATCCGTTTTTGACACTTCATAAACCGAGCTTCCATTGGTACGCTCAACCATCCCTTATTGAATGCCACAATCAGATCTGGCAAATGATAAAAAATTATTATTTATCAGAATCGTAATATGAACGAATTTCACGATAGACCTCGGACAATTTCCCATCACTGACGAATTCGTACTACTTCTCGCCGCGGAGAAGTATAGGGCAATGCCCGAAAAACACATGATCATGTCAACCCGGGCAGAATGCTTAATTGCAATTTTACTTTCTGATTATTCGGTAGAGTTTATCATGAGTTGTCTAGTCACGAGGTGACCCCTCTTTGGTAACCCTTCTGTCCCACTTCCAGGTGCATGCGTAGCAACATGTGCATTGGCTCCAGTTGGCTGACTTTAATGTTGCTCAAGTAATAAGAAGTTGCATTTGTCTTTGCTACCGGTCGGTGATGTGAGCTGTTGCATTTTGCTTACTGGAAAATGAGTTTGCAGTTTTCCAACCAGCTACTTATAAAAATATGCGAGCAAGTGGGCTATCTGAGCCAGTTCTCTCCATCTGCCGTCCGTTCTTCCTATCGCTAGAACGTATTTTTCTGGCTCATTTGTGTTGCGACGAGAGGCTGAGTGTGGCTTGAACGAAGATGATCCCAGCCTCTCTCGGATCGGTTCTGTCGGCGAGGTCACCAGGCGCACCAACATGTCCTTCCCAACTCGACTTAACTCGCCTATGATCGACTGCTGGGACTTGACACCGTCTCTGGAGCATATTCTCCCCTCGGGAAGCCTGTCAACAGTCCTACCAGATTCGACCCTCTTCCAGGGTTGCCGTTCTGCTACAGACCGCAGAGATGGTCACGTGAACTCGTGGGAGACCGGTTCGTCGGCAGATCAATCGTCCACCGAGCCTCTTACGGCTCTGAGCATCACCAGGGCAGATGAGCCCTGGATGCTGGGCAAAATGCATGTCTGTCATTTCTGGCGACCGGCACTTTGATCAATCTGATCATGCATTTTTTAATCCATAAATTAGCCGAATTGAGGAGGTGGTACTAGAAATCTAGGGCACATATTGATTTCGCTGCTAGCCTAACTGGTTTCCAGGGTTTTGTGCCCCCAGACCACGGTCATCGACATGACGACTGCAGAGTTTGCTCAAATGGACTTCAACCGTTCCCGTCATCGTGACGTTTGCAGCCACCACATAACCAGCCAATCTAAGCAGGATCTAGTACTCTGAAAATGGCAACAAGGCCACACTAAAAAGAGGTTTTTTCAAGAGCAGACGGAACAGTGCGTCGAGGATCACTTCTTTCAAGTCGCCAACCAAGTACAGGGGTCACACACTGGCCCAAAGAGGATCAAGCCTCGTCCTCCAATGGAATCGGTCCAAGTAGCGTTCTAGAACATTTACGTTACAGAAAAAAAACTAAAGTCATGACGAGGGAGAAACTGGTTCTTGCAGCTTTGTTTGGTACGTTCGTGTCGACTTGACGGTCACTCGGAGTGAAAGAACGTGATGAAGAAATGCCTCTTGTTCTATTTTCACTTGGTTTATCTGTCATATGACAGGCATCGTCAGAGCATGAAAGAATATTTATTCAATCTCAGACTTAAAAGAAACCGAAGAAATTAGCCAATTAATCTTCTTCTGCTGTACACCTCATAAGACCAATCGACTGACGTCAAGTAAATTAAGACTTAATTATTGCCCTACGAGATTCACATCATTTAGTGGGTTTTCGAGTGAATGTAAGCAGGACTGGATAAAATGAAACCAAAATGGTAATCCTAAGTGATGAGGAGAGAGTAGAGGTTTTTGTATCTATGCCATCAAGGCGTAGTGACGCAAGCATAGTCAGAACTACGATTGCACAACGCCAAACCATCGTGCAGCTGAGCAAATTTGCTTTCTCAGCTCAAATGCATTAATTATGGCATCACTCACCATCAGATACGAAGTTACAAAACTTGAATCACTTTTTTTTAAAGAGGACCCAATTAATTCTTGAATATGAATTTCATATACCCTAGATTATTTAATGTGATTACGGATTGATAGTGAATTTTTCTTCGCGATGCCTCCCAAAAGGCTATATATATTTATATATATATATATATATATATATATCATTTAATAAATATATCGAGAGTATAGGCCACAACTCCCGCATCCAATTACCGTAGATTGAAAAATACCTGTTGCTAGCCTTGAAATCTTGCTAATTACGAATATATGTAATCCTCACCTGACTCCTTAAGTCCATTCCTAATATTTAGATTGTTCCCTCGTCTGTTGATTTTACCAGCTTCTCTAATCTTGCCTTATGCAAGATTAAAGCGAACTCTCAGACAATAATATTCCATGCACACTTTCTGTCGCGGTCTGCAACTTATGACCTCTGAATCCAGCAGCATTTATTCGAATTTTTGGTGAATCAGGTGACTGGTATCCTCAATATTTGGTTGACCATATGAACACATAATTTTTTAGCAGCTTGATTTGGATTTAATGATCATACTACCTTCTAATGGATGGAAATAACCAAAGAAACTTTCACAGCTGCTGTAAAGACGTTTTGGGCTGCCCACTTTCTTAATAGTTCGTATAACCTTCTAGCATAAGGACATGAGAACGTATGCCTAACTCTCTATAAATCCCCAAATGATAACCAGTTTCACATTTATTCCCCATAAACTTGATATTATTAAAATCAAACCTAAGGAGTATTTATTATCTTGTAGCATATTTATAACTGCATCTACCTCCTTGTCCTAACGATTGCTCTCCGCCAACATCATACATCCAATAATCATATACTTGAATATCTGACTATAGAGATAGTTAAGAAAAATCTCGCGTATTCAGGTTTCCTGTTGAGTTTAGGCAAATCAAATGTTATGTTAGTTACTAAAACACCGAGAAATGGTAACGAATTGTCCATTTATCATTCCATTTTAATTTTAGTATCTGTCTTCCTTTGATTAATTGCTGAGAAATATTGCAGCAAATATAGCAAACAAAGACTAGCCAGTTAACTTCCTTATTCAGTTCTAAATACTAGATTTACCTAAAAATACGTCTCTATTCTAAATATTTCTGACGTATCAAAATCCAGCACGTTTTAAGCGTATCCAAGGGAGAAAGTGTCTCAAAGGTAGCGTCATCCTGAACGTTCTGGTAAAACAAAACTTTCAGCAATGTCCATTTTTGCCATTTAAAGTACGGAAACTAAGCCTGTCTTAACCCAAACCTAAGAAGGATGAATCGTAGACTGCATTAACCTGAAAGTAGTAGTAACCCTAAACAATAACCAGTCATTTTTTGTGGTAAGATCGACCTACGAAACTCAGGAGACTCATGAAAACTCACTCTTCACAGAAACTGAGACAACCTTGTCTAATTTTCTTCCTCAGTATTGCTTAGCCTTTAATGCTGGCTGATGTTTCAACACACTAAATAAAGTGATATGGAACTAAACTCGCTTTTATTTTAGGAAATATTTTGCGGCCAGGCCTGCAGACCACATTGTTTTCATAGTTTGTTATATCACAGTCATTATTCGTCGATGTTGCAATGTAATGAACTATAACTTGTTTTTCACTCATCACCGGTCTTCAGTATAGTTACCAGGCCAACTGCAAGTTGTTTATGCTGTTGCCTAGTCAATACTTTCATGTGAGTAAAGGAAGTGGCCGCAACCACAAGGCCATATCCCTTCCGAGTACCACTAAAATATGAATGCTAGAACTTTTATGTATATAGCTCTTACAATATTTGATGGAAATTTGAGAAATTTCTACTAAGCAATAGTAGAAAAGATGCTGAGAACTTCGAGAAAGTCTCCTACAAACCAACGAATGACAAGCACATCTAAGTTAAATAAAATATACAAATGCCTATCAGTGAAATAATTCTCTTAAAAGATTGAGGTTAATTTCGTCGAGAAGATGAATATGAATATGTTCAATTTAGTGCAAACTCAGTTCGCCATGAAAAGCTCCTTTAAGGGTCAAAAATGGTGCATCTCGACAATACTAGTTCACCTTTTATAGATGGTTCGGCTATCGAAAAAAAGTAGTGGGCTGTGTTTGGAATGTGTTTGTCAGACCAATATGACCTGGCATTATTCTCTATGTGTCTAGAATCACAATTTACAAGGTAAAGTTTGGTCGTCGTCATGAGTAAGTCTAAACTATCGTCCAAAATTACTGGCATGATAAAATAATGCCCCAGCTTTTTTCATTTCAAATGATCAACACCTCGGTCATTGAGAATGACACGAACTCGAAAATCGGGTAAACTGTCTGAAGGAGCACTTTCCTATTTTGGCGTCTTTAAAAAAGAATGGCCAAATTTCGAGACCATGTCTCATTTTGGGGTTAAACCATCATTTTAAAGAGAGAAAGAGAAAGATAAGGCTTACCCAGTCTCCAAATGTAGCTGCCAGAAAATTGTGCATTTATGGTGGTCTTTATGTTGGTAAGACAAGTCGCACTACTTTCAGACTTGTAGCCAAGTGGTCACTCATCCCAGTTTCGATTAATTTGAGGCTGAGAATACCGGCTATGCAGTACAAATCAAGCAGGAAATACTATAAATATATATGAAAAACAAGCTGGGTTTTTAAGAATCCCTTTCTAATTTGATGTTACTTGACATTTCACTTTCAATAAAAAATTTGTTTAAGGGAATTCGTGAATTGGGCAAATTAAAAAACGAAGATAGATTGTGTGAAATGGAGACTGGCTTATTATCCTAAGAAGGTGATGTTTTCGAGATGAGCCGTCGTCTGTTTAACCGTGACGGACATCTTCAATGGGGTCCTGGATGTTTAGTTATGTAAATAATCTAGCGTTTTGTCCTGAAATGCTGAGGCGTATTTTGGAGGATTAAACAAATGAGCTGTGATAACCCAAGCCAATTTCTATAATATTCAAGGTTCATCTGCTTGTCTGACCCTTACTTCTGCTCCTCCTCCCTTACACACTCCCTAAGCCAACGGCAATAAAGATATTCTACACAATTTCCTGCCGCCATTTGTTCTTTCAAAATGAAATTGTTTCGTTTATTTCTATAGACTCACTCATCCTACGCTTCGATGTAAGGTTTTCTTGTCCAACAAAATACTGTGTTTTTGATCATTCTATATGGTGTCCATTATAAATCATATGTTAGACCATTTAAAACTATTTTAGCTAGGAGATTTATCTTCAGGTGAGCTGTCCAATATAGCTTCTAACACAAAATGACAAAGTCTAGAGAGAGGACACAAAAAACTAAAAAACTTTAAGAACTATTGGTTGTATTCATGCTATTTCGTTTAAGGTGACAAAGAACTGGTAGTACAAGTTTCCCACAGTGATATGAATAGAGCTGACGTTTCCATTGTCAGAAGAATAGTCTACGCAGACACCAAAATACAGTTTACGCAAAAAATTACCCCTTTCTATCACCTTTCATTCAGTAGCATAAAGTCAAAAAAGATTATTAGTGAAAACTCCCAGGTTTAGAAGAGTTACTTTAATTATATTTGATTAAATCATAATATTTTATGCATTATTCCAATTCTAGCAATTACAATAATCCTCGGTGAGGCTGTTTTCTAATTGACTATGGACCTACCATAAGCCTCCTGTTGAAAAATTGGGCACATTTACACATTCATGCATTCAACTGCATAGTCCAGCATTCCTCGCCTCTGGTTTATCATTCATTATAAACTCACTATAATCTAAGACTTGATACAGCAAGTAAAGAAAACACAGAATAAATTATAATTATGGACAGACTAAATGAATTCTTATTCAAAGCCCTTAGATCGAAAGACTCCTTAAGTTTGCAAAAAATGACGAATAAGAATTATAGTGGAGTTTTTCAGCAGGTGCAAAATAACTTTTTATAGAATCAACTCATTGAAAACTGAACGGACAACATCTAAAATAGTTTATGGGAATGAAAAATTGTGAAAGAAAGTAGTAAAGCTGTATAAACAG